GCAGCTGAATTGTGTCATTTTTAATGTGGTAACATATATATCAGAGAAAAGGATAGAATGATCCTGGTACTGATTATCACTTGGGAGAAGGTTCAGAGAGGTGAACTTTTAATGAGATTTTGGTGTACTTATGATACATTTGTCCAAAAAATTCATTGACGTAGCTGACCTGACTTATATTGGTTTTTTTGATACCATCTGCTCACAACTCTGGGGGAATTTCTTCAAGTGAAAAGTAATTTGTGGAACTTACTGATAAGACCACTTACATTTTTAAAAGCTTCCTACTGCTTTTAGATACACTCGGGAAAGGCCAAGATGTCCTGGGCTTCATGTTAATGTGCTGACTTTGAAGTCGGTGGTGGCAGTGCAGCAGTGAGTCGATTCTACACAGTGAGAGGAGGACTGCTGTGGCTAGACTGGTGACAACTCACACAACAATGCGCAAGAGAGGTCATTCACCTCACCCTTGACTTTTTTTTTAATCCTCATCCAAGGATACGTTTATTGTTTTTTTTTTTTTTTTAGAGAGAAGGGGACAGATAAGGAGAGAGAGAGAAAGAGAAATTGGTTGCTTCCTGTATGTGCCCCAACTGGTGATCAAACCCAAAACCCAGGTATGTACTCAGACTGGGAATCAATTGACTTCTTTTTTTTAAATCCTCATCCAAGGATATGTGTATTGTTTTTTTAGAGAGATGGGGACAGATAAGGAGAGAGAGAGAGAAATTGGTTGCTTCCTTTATGCGCCCCAACTGGTGATCAAACCCAAACCCCAGGTATGTACTCAGACTGGGAATCAACCAAACCTGAAACTATTTTTTATTCAGTGGACAGGACAGTGCTTTGACCAACTGAGCCACAGGGCTAGAGTATGACTGCTTTCTTTTGAAGCAAATCCCTAAACATCAGTAAATTAATCTGTAAACATTACAGTTACATAACTTATCTATTGCTGTTTCCTAGTTGCTAGAAACAGTAATGAATCGGTGAGATCATGATTTTGTGGGTTGACAATTTGGGCTGGGATCAGCTGAATGGTTCTTCTGTAGGTTTTGCCTGCTCTCTCATGCAGGTGTAGTAAGCTGGTGATGTCTTTAGGGTTGGACAGTCCCTGAAGGCCTCACTCACATGTCTGACAGTTGACCAAGGAGCCTTAGTTCTCCCCCTGGCCTCTCCAGCAGGCTCCCTTGGGCTTGCTCCCATGGTGGCAGTATTCCATGAGTTCCTTGTGGCAAGAAAAGCCCAATTCAGAATCTTTTAATTAAAGAACTTTTTTTAACTTTACTTTTATTGTTGACAGCTGTTGACACAGATGTCCCCATGCCCCCACTTTACTCACCTAAACCCAGCCCCAGGCCGCCCTTTCCTCTCACCATCACCACACTGCTGTCTGTGTCTATGGGTTATGCATCTATGTTCTTTGGCTAATCCCTTCACCTCCTTTCATCTACTCCTTCCGGTAAGTGTTAGTCTGTTCCATGTATCCATGGCTCTGTTTCTTTTTTGTTCATCAGTTTATTTTGTTCATTATGTTCCACTTGGAAATCTGAATGTTGAAAAACATTCTTATTTAACTAGTGTTTTATTGTTTTATTTAACTTTTTTTAATGACTGTAAAATGTGTCATTAATTGGGTATGCTATAATTTATTGAATAGGTCATCATGTTTAAATCATACTTATTCAAGTGTTATTACTACAAATAATTTTTCATCTTAAATGTCCAATCTTGATTAATGTATGTTGGAAGTTGGCCAAGAGGGTGAAACACAAAGGCTAAAACACTGTTGGCATTAGCAGTGCCAAGGGACTTACTGTGGAAAGGAAATGGCACAAGGACTTTCTATCTTCAGGTCTGCTGAGGATCAATTTCTATGATCTCCCAGGACCTCTGGATGGGAGTCCTTACCTCCAGCACCACCAATTCTTTCCCATTGATCAAGTCAGAAAAGTGGGTACCTTTTGGGTGTGTTCTACTCTGAAGGATAAATACTTGGCGAGGCACATAGGCTGGATTATAAACCCATTCACCCACTCATTCTATCGCCCTTATTCATGAATTTTACCTGCTAATCCTTCCTCACCCACAATTTCCTCACTGAAGTTTCTATTGTATCACAACACATCCTTTTCAATGACAAGTTGTGATTGATTCTATTTATGATACCCCACACCTTCTCACCTGCTGGGAATCTTTCCAGAAAAGACTTAGAAACTGAAAGGAAGCCAGAGGGCGGGGGTTCCAGAAATCATTTATAACCTGCCACTTGCAGAGCTCACACACACAACTACACACAGTTTGGAAGAGCTTCTCAGCAGAAGGCACAACAATGGCACAGTTAACGGTGAGTTGAACAGGCACAGCCTTCAACGATCCCAGGTCCCATAAGGGAAGGAGGAAAGAGTCTGAGATTCTCTGAGACGAAAACATTGGGAATGTTTTACTTGGGGTTGTGAATACATGGAGATAGAGGATGGGCCAGTGTATCTACTGTCAGCATTTGGTGGTATCTGACTGAGGGTGAACTCTATTGAGACACTGTGACTTTGTGTGGGAAGTGACCGCTGTCTGGGATGAGGGAGTGTGAGCATGGGTGCATCGGGTGAGATTGGAAGCAGCTGTGGTTCTGAACTTGTGTATCATTGTGGCTCCTGGTGGGCAGAAATGGCGGTCTTGGGGAGAGTGGGTTTCCCAGGACTCCTTCCTGAGCATTAATGAGAGCAGAATGAGTCAGTCCTCAGGTGCCTCTTCTCAAGGAGGCTGGGGGAGGGTGAACTCGGACTGTGGAGCACAGGAGCTCCTGTCTGAATAAGCACACAGTGACCCCTGCTCCTGCCTCGGGTCTCCTCCCCCAGCCAGCCTTTCCTTTGTTCTACCAACACACACACACACACACACACACACATATAACCTGCCACTTGCAGAGCTCACACACACAACTACACACAGTTTGGAAGAGCTTCTCAGCAGAAGGCACAACAATGGCACAGTTAACGGTGAGTTGAACAGGCACAGCCTTCAACGATCCCAGGTCCCATAAGGGAAGGAGGAAAGAGTCTGAGATTCTCTGAGACGAAAACATTGGGAATGTTTTAATTGGGGTTGTGAATACATGGAGATAGAGGATGGGCCAGTGTATCTACTGTCAGCATTTGGTGGTATCTGACTGAGGGTGAACTCTATTGAGACACTGTGACTTTGTGTGGGAAGTGACCTCTGTCTGGGATGAGGGAGTGTGAGCATGGGTGCATCGGGTGAGATTGCACACTTGTCTTCATGCCTCTGAGTATGTGTGTGTGGTGCAGCTGGGGAAGTGGTTGAACAGCTGTGCATGTCGTCACGAGTAGTAGTGTTGAGATGTATGTGTGACACGGTGAGCCCCATATCCTTGTGTAACTGTGCGTATAATGATCTATGCCTCCGTATTGAACTATGAATATTTGTGTAGCTGTGTCTGCTTCTGAGGGTTCTCCCATACATGGTACTGACTGTTTAAGCAGTTGTGATCCTTTCCATGTGTATCATTGTGGCTCCTGGTGGGCAGAACTGGAGGTCTTGAAGAGATTGGGTTTCCCAGGACTCCTCCCTGAGCATTAATGAGAGCAGAATGAGTCAGTCCTCAGGTGCCTCTTCTCAAGGAGGCTGGGGAGGGTGAACTCGGACTGTGGGGCACAGGAGCTCCTGTCTGAATCAGCACACAGTGAACCCCTGCTCCTGCCTCGGGTCTCCTCCCCCAGCCAGCCTTTCCTTTGTTCTACCAACACACACACACACACACACACACACACAAACAGTAAGCAGATCCTGTCTCTCTGCGGAAGGTGGTTGGGAGAATCGGTTTCAGAGGATGGATCACCTGAAGATGCAAGGAACAATATCAGTCTCAGTCCAGACAAAGCTTACAGTTGATGCCAGGGAACAACCTATAGATTCTATCTAATTACTGTCCTGTCTCCCACGCTGTGTGCAGGTACTGACTGTGCTCAGCAACTTGTACACATTCCTGAAAGGACACCATTGCCCTTGAAAATCCTGATGCATATACATGCCACACACAGGACTCTCCTTTTCCATTATTTCCCTCGCCCTTCAAGCAATTATCTTATATTGGAGTGAATTTTTATATTTTATACTTTTACATTTTAAAGTCTTATCTTCACAGTTTCAGATAAAAATTGATGGGAGGGTAGTATCCCAGAAAGGGTCCTCCCCTTCCTCTAAGTCTCCACGGTATAGACCCTTTACCAGCCAGGGACCATGCTAAAGGTTTTACATCTACATAGTAGCACAGCTTTTCCTGAGAATATCCTATGAAATAGGAATTTTATAATCCTTCTTGTACTGAGAAAATGGAGGCAGGGAGCATTCAAGTAATGGAACTCAGTTCTCATTGGTGGTAAGAGGCAGAATCAGCATTAGAATCCAGGCCACCTGGCTTTTGATCTCTTGCTGTGAACTACAATCCTATTATTTCTTAAAGGACTCAGAGACCTGTCTGTTGTGAGGGGGAAGAAGAGGGTCCTTAGAGCATGTCCTTTCTATAACTTGCTTTGCCACTGGGAACTGTTATAGGATGGGAGACCACACCTGGCCTTGCCCCTCTCAACTACTCTTGTCTCCCATGACAGATCCCGTATACAAAATACGTATCCTTGCCTGTTGGTTCTTTCGTGAAAATCAAAGGCACACCTGCCAGGTGTTTCAGGTGAGTATCTATAGCCCATGGGGAGGAGAAGTGAGGTTATTAGAGCTTTGGGGGTCACTTCATGCATGACTGAGGTTAAACTTTGTAATTAGCATAATGGTAGCACAATGCAGATGCACAACCCATGTGGTCCCAGGCATTAAACCTACAGGTGCATGACTGTGGGCAAGTGTTGAAGTCTGGGGTCTGGGGTCACTCAGGCATTGGAGCTGAGGTTTATTATCAAGGGACACAGTGTTTCCAGGGCATGAAAAGTAGCCCCAGGCCAGTGACTGCTGCTCAGTGTGAGTCCTGGGCTAAGAGATGAGGCATCTCCCCAGCCTGGGCCGGACAAGCTGAAGCAGCCCCACAGGGAGACTTACTGCAGTCTCACCCAGGAAGGCCTTCCCTCCCCCAGGAGGAGTTGAGAGGGTGTGTATGTGTGTGTTGAATGTGGGCCCCATGAGGAAGAGTCCTGCTCAACAGGCTGTGTGCTTTGCCTTCAGCACGAACCCACAACTGCAGGTGGATTTCCACACTGGAACTGAAACGTGCACAGACATCGCCTTCCATTTCCGCGTGTACTTTGACAACTGTGTGGTGATGAACAGCCGTCAGCGTGGGAACTGGGGTGAAGAAGTGAAATCCACTGATAAGCCCTTTAAGGATGGCCAACCCTTTGAACTGGGCATCTTGGTGCTGTCAACGGAGTATCAGGTGAGTGTGCCCAGGAACATCTACTACCATCCTGTGGCTCTCAGGGCCCTCACAGGAACACACAGCTCTCCCTGGCCTGGCCCCCAGAGTCACTTACGGGTCATCTCCTGCCCCTCTCATCACACAGCACCCTCTGCTTGTACTGCCATGCTCAGGTCCTTTTCCAAATCTGAGCAGGTCAAGATCAGCACACGTGCCTTATTCTCCATGGTGGAGAAGTTCCTGTCTTCACTCACAGCCTCATTTCTACCTATCCTGTCATTACTTCAGTTTTCATGTAGGAGATTGTTAAAATATGCATATAAATAATTATAATCAGTCTAAAATTAAGTTCTTTCCTATATTCCCAAACCCAGTCCCCCTCTCCAGAGCAAAACTTATTAATTCCTTTATGCTCCTTCCAGAAATACTATGTGATTGCTCCAGCCTATCTATCATCTATCTATCATTTATCTCTGTCTGCTTTTATTTTTTAACAAATGATGTTATAAGTTTCTCTTAGAAATCACACATTGATGACTAGATTTTATTTGTTCTCTAAGAATGTATATTAGAGAACCTGACATCATTCTACTTTGATGCCCCCGCAATATTTAATGTTTGCATAATATTCCAATAGAAGCATTTTCAGAATAATTTAACTTGACCATTATTCATGCACATTAAGGTGGTTTGCATATTTTGCTCTCCTGAATGATGCTTCATTCTATATCACATTTTTTATCATTATCAACCTCCCTATTCTTATAAGGGAAGATAATTTCAGAGGAATTGAATAATTAGTTCAAAATGTGTGTGCATTTTATTTTTTTTAAGAGGTATATAGGAGTTTTTACTTTCTTTGACCTGATGACATTATATATGACCTGATGATTATATATATATATAAACTAAAAGGAAACCGTTCATATTGTAATGTATTAAACAGGCAGAATGCTCTTCCTGGTTTCTCTGCTGTGGGTAGATGTTCTCTGGCTTCAGCTGGTATCTCTGGAGAGTGAGGCAGCTTCTCAGCTCGGATTCCACTGCCCTGAAGACAGGTAGAGCTGGAGGACCACGCCTCGGATCCTCGCAGCGCCACAATCAGTGTGTGCATTTTAAATTTGAAAAAGTAACAACTAAAAAGTCCACTTTTTATCCATAGCCACACCCATAAAGTGTATGTTTAAACCTTCTATCATTGGAGAAGCAAAAAGATTTAATGTCCTATGATTGAAGTGAGGCATTGTTCCATTTGCTTATAAGCTGAATAAAAATAGCCTCATTTTAATCATATGCACTATTCCTCCTCTTAAGGGACATTCAAGTTTTGGTTCAGTGGTTAGAGCATTGGCCTGCACACTGGAGGGTCTCAGTTTGGGTTCTCCATCAAATGCATGTATCTGGGTTGCAGGTTCAATACCCCAGCCCATCAGGGCATATGAGGAGGCAACCAATTGAGTCTCAACTCTCTCTCTATCTCTCTCCTCTCCTCTCACCTTCTCTCTCTTCTCTTCCCTCTTCCTTCCACCCTCACTCTATAAAAAATAGGGAAAAAAGAGTCTTATTCTTTACATTTACCACCCCAAATTTAAGCTACTGGGTCATCAGGAGTAAATTGCAGTAAAGTTTAGCACACCTAAAACGAATGTGCTCAATAAACACTTAATGACCGATTAGCCTATGATACTCTGTGTGAGAACCAGATTCACAATTCAGGAAACAGTTCCTGGCCAGAGGAAGCCCAGGCAGACATAGACAGTGCAACATAGAGTGCTAACACGTCAGTGGAATAATGAGAGAAACACAGAAAATAGGGTGAGTAATTGTCTGAAATCGTCACAAAAGGTCGGCTATAAAAAGAAAAATGTCTGTTGGGTTTTAGAGTGTGACTAGGAGTTTCTGGTGGATGGTGTGTGTATAGGGTAGAAAAGGAAAGGAAGACAGCAAGGTTGTTTGGTGGCATGCTATTGTTCTGACACACATTCTCTTCCAGGTAATAGTAAATGGTCACCAATGTTACACTTTTCCCCACCGACTTGACCCAAAATCTGTGAAGATGATCCAAGTGGAGAGAGATGTCTCCCTGACCTCGGTGACTATCGCTTAGAGAAGGATGTGACCAGACTCCCCGTGTTGTAAAGGAGATCCCTCCACCTAAGTGACTCTGTGGTCCCCAGAACTCACTGACAACATGGGTTCTCACCCTTCCCGAACACTTGGTTATTAAAACTCCTGAAAACACAACAAGGTTTGCTTCTTGCTTTAGTGTGGCTATTTACAATTTATTTTAAATATAAATAAAGTATTAGAATGAAAACAAAAAACTCTCGTGATTTCTGTTCTAGCACTATCCTTGATACCCAAGTCTGCAAGGCTTTCCTCCCTGTGGTGTTGTCCGTGGTGCTAATGTGAGGCTAGCATCCTGTTCCCGAGTGAAGGACAGGGCAGACAGAATAAGAGGACTTTAATAAAGTCTTATATTTCCGCAGGAAAACATAGCTCTATTGAGTATCTATTACGTCCTATAAAGAACTTCAATCTTAGGCCACAGAATTAAGAGCTCCAGGTTTTGGTCCCACAAGTTCTCTTTTAAATGACCTACTATTTTAAAAAATATATATTTGTATTGATTTCACAGAGGAAGGGAGAGGGAGAGGGAGGTAAAAACATCAATGAAGAAAGAGAATCATTGATTGGCTGCCTTCTGAACGCCCATACTGGGGATTGAGCCCACAACCCAGGTATGTGCCCTGACCTGGAATTAAACCATGACCTCCTGGTTCACAGGTTGACTCTCAACCACTGAACCACACCATCTGGGCAAATGACCTATTTTTTAAACTTAATTTTTATTATTGACATTGTTACATTTCCCTGCCTTTGCCCACCTCCACACAGCTCCAGGCCCCTTCCCTCTGGCCATCATCACACTGTTGTTGTTCTTTGACTAATCCCTTCAGCTTCTTTCAACCAGTTTCCACCACACCCCTCCCCTTTGGCATCTGTCATCTGTTCCATGTATCCTTACTTCTGGTTCTATTTTGGTCATCAGTTTATTTTGTTAATTAGATTTACCTACAAGTGAGAGCTTATAGTATTTGTCTTCCTGTGACTGGCTAATTTTGATCAGCATAATAATCTCCAGGTCTATCCATGCTGTCATCAAAGGTAATAGTTCCAAAAGCTACATAGTATCCATTGTGAAATGTGCCACAAATTTTTTATCCACTCATCTACTGATAGGTACTTGGGCTGTTTCTAGATCTTGCCTGTTGTACATAAAGCTGCTATGAACATAGGGGTGCACATACTCTTTCTAACTGACATTTCAGATTCTTAGACTATATTTCCAGAAGTGGGATTGCTGGGTCAAAAGGCAGCAGAACAGAATAGAGACCTCAGAAATTAACCCATACCTTATGGTCAATTAATATTTGACAAAGGAGACAAGAGTAGGAGTAAAGACAATCTTTCCAATAAATGGTGTTGGGAAAATTGGACAGGCACATGCAAAAGAATAAAACTAGTCCACCAACGTATACCATACACCAGAGTAAACTCAAAATGAATAAAAGACCTACATGCAAGTAATGAAACCATAAAAGTACTAGAACAAAACAATAGGCAGTAAAACCTCAGACATCTCTCATAGCAATAGTTTTGCCAAAATATCTCCTAGTACAAGGGAAACAAAGGAGGGAAAAGTAAACAAATGGGACTACATCAAACTAAAAGGCTTCTGAATATCATCAACAAAAGGAAAAGTGAACCCACACTATAAGCAAACATATTTTCCAGTGATACATCTGATAAAGGGTTAACTTCCAAAAATATAAAGATAAACAATCCAATTTTAAAAATGGTCAAAGGCCCAGCTGGTGTTGTTCAGTGGTTGAGCTGTGACCCATCAACCAGGAGGTCACGGTTCGATTCCTGGTCAGAGCACATGCCTGAGTTGGGGGTTCCTGGTCAGAGCATATGCCTGTGTTGGGGGTTCAATCCTCAATAGGGGGCACGTAGGGGGCAGCTGATCAATCAATCTCTCTCATTATTGATGTTTATTTCTCTTTTCCTTTCTCTTTCTCTCTCTGAAATATATAAAAACTATTTTGAAAGAATGGGCAAAGAACCTGAATAGACACTTCCCCAAAAAGAACATCTAAATGATCAATAGGCATATGAAAAAATGCTCAACATCACTAATCATCAGAGAGATGCAAATTAAAACTACAATGAGATATCACCTCACACCTGCCAGGATGGTAACCACCAATAAATCAACAAACAAGTGCTGGTGAGGATGTGAAGCAAAGGGAACCCTTGTGCAATGTTGGTGGGAACTGCAGACTGGTGCACCCACTGTGGAAAACGGTATGGAGTTTCCTTAATAAAATGGAATTCCCTCTTGACTCGGCAATCTTATATTTATTTTTTTAAATAAATGAGTTGTAGATCAAAATCCTATTGATAGGTGAAGCATACATTTACTTTAGATTTTCTGAATTGCTTCAGATTTTTCTAACAGGTATTCTTATGCAGCAGAGGTTAAGCCTGGAGAAGTACTCAATTTTCTGTTTATTTCATATACAGTTCATGCAACACTTATTCAAATATTTTACTCAATCCCCCCCCCCAAAAAAAAGCCAAGTGCTGGTAATAGTTGCTCAGACTGCAAAAATATTACTTTCATTTTTATTAGACTGCAATTGTGAAACAGACCTACACGATGGTCACATAAACCATATATTAAGATGAACTCCAAAACACCAATTCCAAAAAATATATGCACCCCTATGTTCACAGCAACATTATTTACAACAGCCAAGATCTGGAAATAGTCCAAGTACCCATCAGTAGATGAGTGAATTAAAAAGCTGTAGTACATTTACAAAATGGAATACTGCATGGCCATAAAAAGAAGGAACTCTTACCTTTTGCATAGATGGACTTGAAGATTATTGTGTAAGGAGAATAAGCCAGTCAGAAAAAGATCATGTGATCTCACTTATAGGTGGAATCTAATGAACAAAATAAACCGATGATCAAAATAGAACCAGAGGCAGGGATACATGGAACAGACAGACCGTTGTCAGAGGGGTGGTGGGCAGGGGAGGCTGGATGAAAGAAGGTGAGGGATTAGCCAAAGAACATGTATGCATAGCCTATAGACAGAAGGACAAAGGACCTGAACGGATACTTACTTCTGTGTAACAGTGTGGTGATGGCCAGAGAGAACGGGGAGTTGGGGAGGTGGGCACAGGTGGGGGAAAGGGACATCTGTAGTAGTGTCAACAACAAAAAATAAACTTAAATTAGACACAACATTAGTATAGGGATAGTTCAATAACAGTTGGCAATTATTCTGAATATTAAAATACTAATACTTTTTATTAATAAAGGGTCAGTGTAAAAGTTAAGCAGAAATTGCAACGTATTTTAAGAAAAAAGAAGAGAAAGCCACAGCATGTTTATGGCACTACAGCAACATTTTACATTTCGGGTCCACAAGGTAAGTTAAGTAAATAGCTGGTAAATTCCAAAGAGGCAGGATCCCTATCACAAGGCTCTGAGAGCTAACATACGGGGTTTGAACTTTGAGGATATTTCTGACCAGGAAAGCTAAAGGTCACCTGCTGGCATCAGAAACTATTTAATAAATAAAACAATTCCTGAAAACCAAGTGTCTGCCACCCCTGAAGATTGTCCCATTCACAGGGTCCCTGCTGTGATAGCTTCACATGGAGAGAAAACCTGGTTTGGGAATCATGGATGTTAGTTTTATGGGGCCTCCCACAGAGAAGCGACTTAGAGTAGATGTGAGGAGGGAGAGCAGGAGCAACTGAGTGACTGAGTGTGCCTCAGTCCTAACCTACATATCTAAATAGGGACATTGCTTAATGCTCATAGCAACATTATGCATAATAACCCCAAAGAAGCAAGAACCCACATATCTAAAACAGGTGTCCCTCTGCCCTAGCTGCTTTGGCTCAGTGGCTGGGGCATCAGCCTGAGCGCTGAAGGGTCTTGGGTTTGATTCTGATTTAAGGCACATACCTCGATTGCAGGCTCGATCCCTGACCCTGGTTGGGGTGTGCAGAAGCCAACCAACCAATGTTCTCTCTCACATCAATGTTTCTCTCTGTGTGTCCCTCCCCCTCCCTTCCACTCTTTCTAAAAATCTGTGGAAGGATATCCTCATGTGAGGATCAACAACAACAAAAAATACATGTCTCTCCCTATTACCTCCTGTGTCCTCACCTTCCCAAGAAAACGACATCCTAAAATTATCATTCATTATTTTTACTTACAGTTTTTCTACCTATGTCTGCAAACACAATTATCAAGGAAACTATAAAACACATATAATTTAATAGGAGACCTGAATCTATGGACTCATACACCATATTAATAGAGATGATTCATATTTTTTTAGAATTCCAGTTCTCCCCTAATAAGCCAAGAAAACATCAGTTTTTAAGCAAAATCCCCGTGGGATTTTTATAGAAATTTTCACACCGATTCGGTCTCACAAGATGTTAATAAACCATATGTTAATGTGTCTAACATAATTATAGTAAGACATTTTGCATTGGAGTAGAGCAAATAAATTAATATAGAAGAACAAAAGTCCCAGAAAAAGACCAAAGCATAGAGGTGGCATTACTAGTGAGCCGGGAGGGCAGATCCCCTAAAGTTACAAGTCTTCTGGGCTGCAACTTGGGGTCTTACCACAGGGGGGTAAGCAGAGATGTCGCCAGAGACTTAGAGTCAAGAGGGAGAACAAGGGGGAGGAAGAGGAAGGGAGGGAGGCATGGAGAAGAATGTGATGAAACATAAAAGAAGGTGAAAAGGAGAGAGGATGAGGAGGGTAAAGACAGAGAGGTGGCCTAAGAGTAATGCCCCTTCTCTCTATCTTGACTCTTCTCTGAAGTCCTTCAGTTTTCAATGTTTTACCTTTTGCTGCAATGAAGTAAAGTTTTTGCCTGGAATATGGGTATAGTGATACAGACTAGGACTGAATAGGGCAGAAATCTTAAATTTAGGTGAATACGTATTCACCTCCAGCTCAGTGGCCGGGGATATTCAGGTGAACAAGACAGATTGTCACCTGTCTTGTGAAACCCATGGTCACTGTTATGGTCCCAGAAAGGTTTTCAAAACAAACCTTTCAGGTTTAGAAAAATATTAGAAAGTCAATATATAACCATTTTTCATATCACCATTTAAGTATTTC